ACGTTTATAGAAGAAGCACTTTGTAGAACTCGACCTGGATTTGAATCTAACTAGGACCAAGTCAAAGGTAGTACCGCGCTACAGCATATGATATATAGAAAAAGCACCCGCGTGATTCCATTAATATATAATAAAATAAATTCTCACAGCATTTTAATAAAATTTGGTCGTTGTTTAACAAATTTGGTTGTAGTTTAAAAAATTGCTATATAATTACCAACTATCCCCAATAAGAATGTTATACTGAATCTTATTTTGATAAGCAATAAATTTTAAAGATCACATTTTCAAAATCGAGGTTGAAATGAGAATACTAATAAGAAAGGATAATTGCGAACTGTTTGTTGTCGTAATATTATTGAAAAACAGTTATATATGAAAAGATTTTCCTGTATTTTATTAAATTCATGATAATTTTAAATATTTTTAGAGAATATTCCCGATAGTAAATATTAAGAAAACGACTTGGGGGGGGGGAGAGGGGTTTTAAGGTTTACACTCATATTTTCTTGTTCAAATAATAATCTTCCTTATTGACATTTATAGCTATTTTACTTAGTATACAACGCACCTATCATCGATCTAATTAATGATAATAAACTTCTATCAACATTTCTATAAAAACAGTTAGAGTCATTATTGAGCTACATTTTGTACTTGATAATTCCATATAACAATTATTTGATATTAAAGTAATTTTCTTTAAAATATATATTCCCTATATTTTTATAAAAGAGATTTTTTATGCTTAATTGTAAGTTATACTACCATAATTGTTTATTAGTAACTTCCAATATATGTCATTGGTAACTTCTTTTTAATTAAAATAGGGAATTTTTGTAAAAAAAAAATATTATACAAGTATGAAATATATTAATTAATAGTAGTAAATTAAAAATGTGTTCCAAATACAAAAATTGTAAATTAACAATAATAAATAATCTGCAGCACATATATATACACATTCTTTTTCTCAACGATGACAAATTAAAAGGAATTATGGGCAGATGTAACATGTTTTGGGGGCAATGTTTATATTATTTGTTCTTTATTGAGAGCTGAGTAGTCTAAACATATCCCAAGTATAGATGACCATTCAGAGGGTCGCTTTCATTGATAATATAAAGCTAAGATAATTGCTTTTATTATGGTTCTAGCCAACCTCTGATGCAGGTAGTAACTGTATTAGGTCAATTCTGAGAAACTTTTATCTCTAAAAGAATTTTATAGCGAAGTTAATTCCCGAATTTTTTTCATCAAAACATTTATAAAAAAGACAATATCGCGAACCCTTTGTCGAGATTTTACTTTTGCGAAGCCTTGACCACGAATACTTTAGAGCTAATACATGTCAGCTAAACTTTTATCGTGAACTCGGGAATATCGCAACCCTGTAAGTGAATTTTCTGCAGCGAAGTTATATTTCGAGCGCATTACCTCGAAACAATAAATATATTGCGAATGAATTTATTTAAAGGAAATAACATTTTTAATTTTAATTTTCCCATAAAAGTTCCTTAAATCATAAATGCTAAATGTTTTACGAATTTTCTGTTACTTATTGTTTATTAAGTAAGCATGCAACCGATAACTGATTTGAAAAAATAAATTTCTAATTTCTTCCTGGTCTCTTCTCACTGTTCAGGTAAAGGAGTTGGCATAACATATTCCTCAAATTACTATTGTAAGATATAAAACATATAACGCTATGTCATTTTGATTAAATAATGATTATTTAAAACTTAAAGAATCATGCTTACGCACTTAAAATAAAAGAAATAGTAAAAATTTCTGAGTGATATATTTTCTAATAATTTTTACTTAGCAAAATCAACTTATGGGAATTCAGTAAAACTTACTTTAAGTAATTTTAATTCTGAGTAATTAAGGAGAAAAAAGAATATATGCTGTACCACTAACCTACATGTTTTGTAATTAGCATTACATTAGTTTGAGCTTCAGAATTATACCTGCCAATTGACAAACTCCATGCTTAAGCTGCGTCTTAATATTAGATTCAGATTCCTATCAAATTTTTGTTAACAGAAAAGATAAAAAGAATATCAATAAAGATTGTAAAATCATAAGATTTATTTTGAATGGTGTAATTTATTGTAAACCACCATTGAAAATTCGATAAAGACAGTCTAAAATAACAATGTTTTTTTAGTGACTGGAAAAACTGATTGATGTATTTATATATATTATTTACATCAGAAAATAAATATTGACGCAACCCAGATATCAATTTCGCAAAGTAGGATCAAGATTTAACTAATGAACTCAATAATTAATATATTAATCATTGAGTGCGATTTTTATATCATAAGATTTGGAGGAAAAGCTTAGGGAAGGATAGCAAATTTTTTTAATCTTAATCATAAATTTCATACACCAAATAGTTCATTTCATTAATCATCATAATAATTTATTCAGGCAAAAAGAAAATTTAAAACTCTATCATTGAATCAATTTTGTCTATTTTTTCAAAAACTATTATATATGGTCATAAAAATAAATGCTTCAAAATAAAATAGCCACTATTAGCAATTATCGCGATATTGATCCCGTGATATTAATCCCGTGATATTAATCGCTATAATAACTTGGCGAATTAATTTTTGCTATAATGTCCTCCCGATTTGGGTTGCGCGATAATAACTTCCCTATAAAATTTTCGCAATTATTGATTTGCAGTAAAAATTTCGCTGTAATATATTCGCGATATTTGTTTCGCGATATTGTCTTCGCGCAATAGTATTCGCGCAATAGTATTCACGCAATAGTATTCGCTAATTGGATTCGCGATAAACGTTTCGCTATAAGATCCATTCGCGATTAACGATATTCATGATAAAAGTTTCTCTGAATTGACATGGAACCTGTAGTATCCCTCTTGGGATCTCATTCTTAGCTCAGATCCGGTGCCCTAACCATCTTGTAGTATCCCTCTTGGGATCTCATTCTTAGCTCAGATCCGGTGCCCAAACCATCTTTAAAAAAAGTTAAACGTAATTTCTAACAATTTAAAATAAAAAAAAACTAGTTAAATAAATTTTGTCTATGAATTTGATTATATTTTTGCCATATTTGAAAATTCTTTGTGTTTTAACAAAAAAAATAATATCAATGGTAAGGTGTATGATATATTCAAAGTTTGATTTAACCTAAGAAGTACTGAAGGGATTGTAGCAATTAATCACCCTAAATACAATTTAATCCCTTTCTGAATTTGATTCTGAAGATTAACAATTAAATCAATAGTATCGATTTTAAATCTATGGTAAGGGCAAGCCACCCTCTCCTTTGTTTGATAGCTTCTTGCTTTTCTGTCCTTACTATATTCAAAATTAATGAAATAATGAAATGCCCTCTTGGTCAATTCAGTATAGTACATAGGAAGTCACACTTCCTAACAGCTTTGAAGAACTTTTAAATATAATTTCTTTTTTTTTGAAAATCTTGTGATTGCTTTTTATGTGCTAATTATATAAAATATATTTTTCTTACACATTTAAGAGAGAATTACCTCCATTTTGCTAATGTTGGAAATTTAAAATAATAGCAGCTTCCCACCTCTGAGTTGAGACGGCTAGTGGCACCACTGCCAGCTATCTATAGGTTCAACTACAAATTGAATACAATATTTGCTCCATCTAGGTTTAGATTATCTACACCACGAATTTTTTCGCTATGGCTACTCACAACCTAAGTGTATTTAAAAAAGAATACTAATAAAATACTGTTGATATAACCGATATACTAACCTTTAAATTTTTTTTTTTTCATGTTTATATAAATTGATTTTTTTTTATAAATTGTGAAGATTGATTTTTTTTATATAAATTATTATATTAATATGTAAATTGTTATATAAGCATGATATTTTAGTTTTAAGACAGATGTAAAATTTTAAAATAAATTAAATAAAATTAAACTCGTAACTTTGATTTATTCTAAATTAAATTAAATTGAACTCGTAACATTCAAATATTCTTAGAAAACTTTAAATACTAAATTATTTGATTTGCTTATTAGCTTTGCTTTCGTTTGAATAATAAAATTTGTTATTTATGTTTGATTTGAATTATAATCAAGCGTTTTTTTTAGATATGAAATAACCCTTAAAAATAATTTGTCAGTATTCATTTGAAATATTTTTTTTTGCATATTTAATTGTAAATCAAAAATAAAATTAATGATAAAGAACATAAAATTAAGTTATTGAAGAGATTAAGATATATATTAATTTAATATATAATGCTGAGTTATTCTTAAGGTAATGATTTCTTATTGTTTCTTCTTTATAAGATACACGATTTCTTGAGAGCAAATTAGTTCCAACTGTGAAGATTTTCACAAGCAGTTGATATATAAATAAGCCTTTTTAATCACAGCACGTCGGATTGGCAGTATATCATGAAAAAATGTTAAGTGTTATTTAAAAAACAACTTAATAATTATTTCGAATATTCAAATATTCAAATTATTTGTTAAATATTCAAATTATTCATCAAATATTCAAATTATTCATCAAATATTTAAATTATTTGAATGAAATAAAACGAATTAGAATATCTATTATAGAGAATCTTGTTTATAGAGAATAAATTTTATAGAATTATTTTGAGAGAATTATTTTTCAGAGAATCATTTTACATAGTTTTACAAATAATTATTTTAAAGAGAAGAATTTTAACAGAATAATTTTATGAGGATTTTATCAAGAATAATAATTTTTTTAGAAAATAAATGTATTATTTTATAAGTAAGTTTTGATCTCAAATATGACCATTTGACTTCTAATTCACTTATAAATGATTTTATTGAAAATGAATTATGATTAAGTATTACTTTTGAAAAATTATTTGAAATAAATTTTAAGTGTTAACAATTTATCGTCTAATTCCAAATAGCAGATACCATCTCTAGTCTCTAATCTCTATTTATACCAATATTGTCATAGTTAGGCATACCAAGTAATTCATTCATAGATTTAAAAATTCTCATATGTGAAGCATGTCTAGACCAACAACTCATAAATTATTAATATATTCTGCTAAACAAATTGTACAAATATCAAAAAATGGTGAAGAAGTATTAAAGGGGATAAAACAAGACCAACCTATTATTTTAAATGAAAAATTTGGCGATAATGGGGAAACGATTGGTTTATCAATTGTGATAGATATGTTAGTGATATATTTAAATGTTTAAAAATTTATTTAAAAGTATTAAGCAATATTTTACAAATCACAATGGATTATAATTTCAATTATGAAATTATGTTAACTTATTTTTTTGATTTAGGATACAAAAATTGCAATATTGATAAAAATATATTAATCTTGTAATACATCATCAAATAATGATAATATTAAAAATTATATGTTGTTTAGATAAATATATTATCTTGTCCTAAATATAAGAGGACCAGTACTTCACAAATTTTTTAACCAATTTTATTTTATTTAATAGTAAAATTGTTAAAACAATAGTGTCTAACAATATAACACTTATTAAAATGAATACTCTTTTTTTAAATAAATATTTTTTAAAAAAAAGATGAGTATTGATATTTTGTCAATACTCATTCTGTCTTTAAGTATTGCTCAGCTAATATATGATATTTTAAACATAGACTAATACTTAAAAAATGATAATTAATCCTTATACATTTTTTTTTAAAAATTGATCTACAAATTTATAAACCAATAAGAAAGATAGTGCTACCAACTCTCCCCCATCCTCCCCCACTATTTCTTTAAACTTTTAAAATTAACTTAATTTTTTTTTCAGACAAAGTTATTTCAGAATTAACTTTATTATGGTATAAACAAAAAATACATGAAAATATAATTTCAAGTCTCATTATGGTTGATTGAACATGCTTTATAGCTTAAATTGATAAATCAAGAAATATTGGTTGTGTCAGAAATGGGCTGGCTTTCCTAAATATTCTTAAAACAGTGGGCAGTTAAATTTTAAAATATTTTTTGGGCTAACAATGAGCAGGTTAAGAAAATTTTAAGTGGGTGGGCTAATTAGCTAAAATTTGCCCAAAACATACCTCTGATAAAAACTTATCACTTGGATAATTTATCTATATTTTTTTTTAATTGAAACTTTATTCATATGGATATATGGTAAGGATGGGGGGGGGGGTCTATTCTAATTTTTGTCTGGTCTAAAATTATTTGATAATCGATTCAAAATTTAAATTTAAAAATTTTTTTAATCTTTTTACGTATTTATTCTTAAGTTTTTTAAAATAGTAAATTTTTAGCAAATATTTGAATTATTTTCAAACATTAACTAGTTAAACCGGTAACGATTCATTCATCTTTGAAGCGTCTTTGAATTCATATTGTGACACCATTTTTAGTTTTTCTCCAATAGCAATTTTTTTTTATAGTTTTCATATAATTTTGATATAAGATATTTTACTCTGGAGACTAAAATAACATTTTACCAAATAATTTGCTTAGTAGTATTATATGTTATTGGTCAAAAAGCCTATCTTGACCTTATATTCAGATTTAGTTTGGAATTTATCCTTCAAATGGATCTTAACTCGACGTCGTTTCGAGATAGAATAAAAGAAAATAAAAGAGGGAAATTACAAAAAAAAAAACTTGAAATATAATTAAAGAAAGGGATTAAAATAAAGATTGAAAGATTATTTTCAAATGAAATTCATTATTTAAATTTTTTTTAAAAAAAATTGGTGATCAAGGACAGGAAGGATCGAGGCCGTTGATTTCGATGACCAAATCAAATGCCAATTTAGGTTCGCCATTTTTGAGCAAAGTTTATGCGCCAAGGGTTTGGTCATCTTACCAGGTTACATTTTATTTTTTGATTTATATTGTATTTTGGTCCTTCGCACAATTTGAAACCATCAAAATCGCGACAAATAGAGGAAATCTAATTCATAAACCGGAACAGGTTCTTAATAAAACTGGAACTAATTTATACGTATTGATTAAACCCTTATGAGCACCATTTTAGATGGGATTATTTAGTGTTTAAAATATTTTTTTAAAAAATATTGCTAAAGGAGTTTGGAACCAGACTCCTCTCGAAACCGCTTCAAATTCTGAGGACTAACAAATACCAGATTTTGATATAACATTTAAAACCAGAAATAAAACCGTTTTTAGTCCAGGTTTCAAAGTTTGACTCTATCTCATACCATTATAATTAATTTTGAAAGATGGATTTCTATAAATCCCCTCCCTTCCCCCAGGAAAATCAAAACACCGATTTTTTTCTTAAAAAAAAATATAACCTTAATCGAGTTATTAATGTTGTTTTTAAATAAGCTAATATTTTCGGATGGGAACGAATAAAAAAAATATATATATTAAATTATTATGTCATTTCCGATGTAAATTTAAATTATTTTTTTCTATCATTTAAACTTTCCTTCTTGGTTTATATTTCCATGGCAATCCATCCTAAATGTAAGTGTAACGGACGCGATATATTCTTATTACCTTCTCGTTTAACTCATTTTAAAATGCTTCATAATTGTTGGTCAATAAGTGTCTAACTCATTTAAAAAAAATAAAATATAGGATTAATAGACGCTCATACGCATCCCATATGGGCTGGAGATCGAGTCGAGGAATTTGCTATGAAGGTTTTTTTTTCTCTCTTTCAAAGAATTTTATTTAACGCCACCAAAAAAAAAGAGCTTTATTTTTTTTTCGTAAACAATAATGTATTAAGAGGCGCAACTATCCAACTGGACAATTTTAATTGATCCGCATGGGGCCTAATTTTTCAAGCCCAGGTCGGCCCGAAATTCGTCCTACCCGATTCCCTAATTTTTTTATTTATTCTGAAAAGATCTGATCCAAATTAAAAATTATTGTTCGTTCTTGCCTCGGCTCGAATTTACTTAAAATATGGAAATTTTTAATATAGTTTTACATTTTTACGCTGAACATAATTCGAGTTTTCGATCATTCTACAAATAAATATTTTTTTAAAAAAAATATTAGCGCCTTGTTTCTTGCAAAATTTTTTAAAGAAATATATATATATATATTTGAGCCGGATATTTGCAGAGATCTAACCCTAATATATTATTCGAAAAACTATACATTACCGATACTTTAAATTTTTAAGTCCGATAACTATAATTTTTTTTTACTGATGAAATGATTAAGAAAACCAAGTTGATTCGATTTCAAATCGGCAACGATGATAAAAGCAAAGTTACTGGAAATGATTTTTTTTTCTAATGTCGAATATAATAAATGAAGTTTATTTGTATTATTTTTTTCCTGTTTGGCATGCTGCGTTATTTTACAGATATTAATGCTTTCGGTTAATTTAAAATATGGATTTTTTTTCATAATTAAGATTCTCTATTATTTCCCATAAAAAAATTCTCTTTATTCATATGGAGAATAGGTTTACTCGTTTTGCTAACAATACTATCTATCATTTTGTTAATAACGTTTTACATTCTACATAATTTTTATTTCGTTTTCTTTAAAAAAAAAATAATATAACAATGGCCATTCATTTTTTATCTCCTTTTTTTTTCTTAATCGCATTAGAAATATATTTTTCTAAAACAAACTTTTTTTTTTAGCAAAAAGGCGCTACATACAATGAAATAACTTTAAGCGGTGGCGGGATATACAAAACGGTAAGGGAGACAGACCTCGCTTCCGATGAAAAATTGTACAACCTGCTCAAAAACAGATTGTATCATATGATGAAATCCGGCACTACCCTAGTTGAATGCAAAAGGTAATCTTATATGTGTAAGGACCTTGTAAAATATATTTATATTATTTTGATAGGTAAAACTCGTTACTTTTACAACTTATACGTTTTCGTTACATTTCTTAGATGTAACTTAATCGTAGTTGTCAAATTAATTTCATTTTTCTTATACTTTTTTTTTATCATTTAAAAATAATAAGAAATGAACTATAAATTTTAAAAATACTATTCAAATAGTATACATTTAATATTAATTCAGTTTTTGACAGCGGCCTTTAGTGTCCCTGAAAATATAAAGGTGATTTACTGTACCCTCAATTTTATATGTTAGACGCCATATCTCGGCATCTTTTTCACGCAGATCTGACCACATGAACTGAATTACACCTCTATATGCGTTCTGCGTGCCACCCAGATAATAAAACTTTCATTTTTTTCCAAAATACCCTCATCATCAATATCCATTTCACCTTCCATTTACACACGTTCTACAGATAAATGTCGTGCTTGATATCTAGGCTTCCTTTCTCATCACATCTTTTTTGTACCCTTTATCAGCTCATGCATCGGATGGAATTTTTCGTAACACTTTTTCTACCCACATGCACATCTCATGGCCATTGTCAAGTGTCTGTTTTTTCCCTTATTTCCGGATGTGCCTCCAATCATCCCTCTGTCGATATAATTTTAAAAGATCATCTTGTTTTTTTACTATTTTATTTTTTCAATCCTTGCTGACACTTTAAAACGTTACGAATGCCCAAAGTAATTGTTATCTATTTATATTTTTCTTTTAACATAATTTTGCCACAATTTAGCGGATATGGGTTAGGATTGGAGCAAGAAATGAGACTTTTGACTATACTTAAACGAGCCAACGACGAATTGCCTCTCACACTTTCCATCACCTATCTAGGAGCTCACGCCGTACCAAGGTTTTGAAACTTTCAAATACCATTTCAACCCCCCCCCCCTTCTTCAGTTATCAAAGTTGGGATAAATCGTGCTATATTGTAAAATCTAAATATATTTTCACAGTAACACCAACGTTACGACTTTTGCCCAAGAAATAGCGGACTCCCATATACCATTTCTGTTAGACGCTTACCTAGAAAATAAAATATCTCTTCAAAATGTGGACGTTTTTTGCGAAACGGGCTATTTCGATGTCGAAAATTCGTTCAAAATCCTGAAAGCTGCTAGAAGGGCCGGGTTCAATATTAACGTTCATGGGGATGAATTGACGCCTATTGGATCTTATAAAGTATTTTTTTAAAAAATTTTTGTTTTGATATTTTATTAAAATTAAAATTAAAATACTACATTCAAAAATAAAATTAAATAATATCACATATTTTTATTTTACATAAAAATTCAACATAAAATTGATAAATTTATTTTAAAAATTTTCTAAGGCCCGACCCGCCCGAATTTTCTTAAAAAATATTAGACCCGAAGCCCTTTCAGGCAGGGCCTACTTTTGCAGATCTCTAATTCACATCGTTCACCGAAAACCTTTTTTAATATATAATTCCTTCTCCACTTCCCTTGTGGGTCAAACTATCCAGAATCTATTTTCCAACCAGAATCTTGACGATCCAAATTCTTATTTTATTTTATTTTTGCTAACATCTTTGGACATCCAATTTTAATATTCTCTTCATTCTCTAACCTTTATAACCAGAGTCTGAATGGTTCCTGTTTTTTAAAATTTTAAAAAGTGAGTTCTGGTTTCTGTTTCCTAAAATTGGCACGGTTCATGGGATTCCAGTGTTCCTAAAATTTTGAAATGTGAGTTCTAGTTTCTGAATCTTAGATTGGACGCTGTTAGTTCCGGTTTCCGATTTTAAAGTTAAAAAGTAAAATCAAAATGAAATTTAAACAATAAATAAACCTTCTAATAATGGATTTTGCGTATTATTTTTAATGTATTAATTACTCTCGTTTTTATATTTTTCCGTAAACTTTTAAAAGTTCCCGGGTTTATACTATGGCGGTTTCCGTTTTAAACTTTTGTTATGACTTCAGCTAAGGACTCTTTCGCTTATAATAATATTCTCATCACTCTCATTATCTAAATTAGTATAGTTAATACTATGTTTCTGATCTATGATATCTTGAAATCTTTCCGGCGTGTGATCTCGCCAAGTCATTGGTATATTTTTTTTCCGATATTGCTAACTTATTCCTAGATTTTAAAATAGTATGTTTTATTTCCTACTAGGTAATTTTTTTTTAAATCTGTGAATATAGAGTTAATAGTTAATTATTATTTTTTAATAAAACATCATTCTCTGTCACTTATACAAGTTAGTGGATATGCTAAGACGAGACGCTCACAGTTGTAACGTATATTCGGTGGACCAACGTTACTATTCCATTTCTCATTTGGAGGAGCTCAGCCAAGAAGGTATATTCAAACATAGTTTCTGATATAATCTCATTTGAAGTGTTACAACTATTTACTCCAAATGTTTTATTATTTTCTAGTCTTCAACATATTTTCAGAATATATCTTCAAGTCTATGTAATTTATAAATCAATGATGGTTTTTCTTTTGTATTTCATAACAAATATTTTATTTTGCGTTTTTAATCCATCCATTATCAGTCTTTGTTTTCATCTTGTAAAAAATATTATGACTGACGACTAGTGTTGTTAAACGGCTAAGCCGAGTCGACTTATCTGCGACTCGAGCCTAGTTTCTAGTCGATAAAACCACTTTGACTCGAGTCGACTAAATGAGCCGCATTGGTCGGCTCGTGTATTCGACTCGTTGGGTCTGCTCAATTTTTTTATATTTTTATAAAATCTGGTAAATTGCTAAATTTTGGGAAAATGATTAATGTGAACAAAATTATAATGAGAATATGTTGTTTTAGTTTTTCATATTTTTTAGGCATAAATGGGTTAAAATAAGTATTGCTAACATGTTTAAATAAAAATTTAGTGAAGATGTACCCTAGATAATTGACAATTGTCATAATCGTTGATTTAAAAGTTTTTCGAATTTTTTTGACGTAAATGGGCTAAAATAAGCATTGCTAACATGTTTAAATAAAATTTAGTGAAGATGTACAGTAGAAAAGTGACAATTGTCATAATCGTTGTTTTTAAAGTTTTTGAATTTTTTTGACGAAAATGGGCTAAAATAAGCATTGCTAACATGTTTAAATAAAATTTTAGTGAAGATGTACCCTAGATACAGGGTTTCCCATTCAAAATAAGAAAATCATAATATTTTTTTAATTTCTTGTCAATTTTTCTTAAAATTTTAGTTATTCCTTTTTAATTTATTTCTAAATTTTTGCGATTTCTTTACGTTTTTTTTCTTACTGTATCTTTCAATTCATTTCTAACCTTTTGCGATTTTCTTTACTTTTATTTTTCTTACTATATCTTCTCTCAATTTATTTTTCTTCAATTTATAAATTTAGGTCCATTTTTTTTAACAATTTACGTTTTTTTTCATCATACATACATATATAATATTCTTTTTATGATTTATACATTTTAATCTTTTGCATACATTTTTAACCTTTTCAATCTGCTCATTTTTGATCTATATTTTTTTGAGCATTTATCTATTTTTTCTTCTCATTTTTGATAATTATTTTTGCTAGTTTAGTTCTTTACAAAATCCTAGTACATATAATTTTGTTTATTAAAGACCATTTAGTTAAAACATCTATTTTATATCTGACTCTGATAAAACTAATTTATAAATTTTAAAAAAAAATAAATAAGGACGCATTTTTTTTACTATATATAACCTTTATTTATAAAAAACCTACACTTTCAATTATAATAATCTATAAATAAAATATGCTAAAAAATTATTCTATTTTTAAATTTAATATATTTATGTCCCATGAATTTAGCGAGAGGCATTGTTTAAGAGTTGAAGAGGACATTCTATTTCGTTTGTTCGTCAAGGTATCGGCAGCTTTAGAAAATACTCTTTCGCTGGCAACAGATGTTGTTTGTTGCCCTAAATAATCTCTAGCCATATTCGATAATTTTGGAAATCTCTTGGCATTTCCAGACCACCAGATAAGAACATCCACTGTTGTCTTTGCCACTAGATCCGCCAAATAATCCTCAATCTCTTCTAAAGCAGGATCAGGCACAATATAGGCATCTCTAAATTAAAATATGAATGATTATATATAAATAATTAGGATTAATTTCTATATTTACCTTCTCAACTCATTCAAAATATTTACCGACATCAAATTAGATTCGGTCTCCTCGAAATGGTATTGCTGAGAAGAAGGTGCTTGATACGTACTAAAATAAATTCTTCAATCTTTCATAGTATCCAATTGTATTAATAAAACTCGGTAGAAAAAACCTACTTTCAAATTTCGTCATATGCGATATATATATAGTGCATTATCTAGCATCTTCATCGAGGCCATTTTAATAGCCTTAATTTGATGATAAGCCTATCTAACGTTCTATAAATTTTATCTATAGATAGAATGGCCATTCCAATTGTAGGGGATTTTTCTGTACATATTTCGCATGTAATTTTATAAAATGGATATAAAAATATTTCGAGATGCTTCAAAAATTCACAATCATCAATAGTTAAATTAAAATTTTCTTCTCCAAAAATTTTCTTCCCCAAATCCTTGATAGCCTGGATGTGCTATATAAAATAAAATATTATCGAACATTAAATATTATTATAATACTTTATTAATACTAGATAACATTATGAATTTGCTATTCCATCTAGTTACCACATCCATTGGAATTCGTGTACCCATAACTTTTATAAATTCTTGCATCCATTTCGGACTTTTATGTAATTTTCTTACAAATTTTTCTACCATACCTTGCTCTTTCGAAAAGAAATCTATCCCTTCCTTCACAATAATGTTTATAACATGCGCAAGGCATCTATGACTATTAATGCCCTTTTTATATTTTGATTGAAAATTTCATTTATTAAATCTAGGGCAACTATTATATTGGAGCCATTGTCATGTGTGATGGCTAAAAAAAAAATTTCTATTTTAAAGTTTTCAATTGATTCTATAATTAGCTTACAAATATCTTCACCTTTGTGAGGGTAAGGAAACTCTAGAATATCTAGCAAAAAAATTTTTAATATCCAGAATTCGTCAATAAAATGTACGGTAATCGCACAATATGATATGGAATTTTGTGACCATATATCCGTGGTTAGAGAAACTAATCCCGTGACATTTCTTAAAATTTTAATTATGCCATCTTTGGCACTTAAGAATATATTCGATAAATACCTTTTTGCAGTTTGGCGACAAACTATCTTTATATTTTTATTTGCATATTTGAAAATCTCTTTAAAGGTTTCGCTCTCCAAAATATTAAAAGATATATTATTCTTTATAAGGCATCTTAATACTAATTTATTCATATAAAGATTTTCGGTATCAGATAGTTTTCTGGCTCCGAACAATGAATCATGAATTGCAGCGCCGATGTTGCAATCTACCGCGGCGATTTATAATTTTTTCATCGGCGTTCTGCGACGTGCGGATTTTGCCACCGCCTACTAAATTGTCGGCGACGGTGGCACGAAATTTATTTAAAAAGTTTTTTTTAATGAATTACATTTTTTTATAATTTATTTAGGCGCTCTTTTTTAACACATTGTTTATATGGTTTAATTCATTTTTTCAACTATTTCCTGTCTCACACCAATTTACATTTATGTAATTTCTATTCTGACGAGAAATAATTATCTTATATTTCTTAGACAATTAATTTTTTAATAATCATTTTATTTAAATTTTAAAACTTTAGAAAATCAGTTATTCCTTTAATGTTTATATCAAATGACATTAAATCTTTGCGGCAAAAACATTATCGCCCAGGGATGCTAACCCTGCAAAATTTTTGCCCAGGTTTGGTTAGCGGGTTTTCTCCTCGAGGTTCGGGTTCGAATCCTTGTTTTCGCCCCATTATATTTTAAATTTATTTTATAAATTAAATAGATATTTAAAAAACAAAAAATTAGAGCTTGAATGAAATCGGCGGCTGTTCCAGCGTATATAAAATTAACGGCGGGGTACAGGTCTAATTAAATCAGAATAGATTTATCTGCCATCTTTATCTTTAATATTTTAAAAATTTCATTTTTTTCTCCCCATTCAGATTTTATATTTATCTAATTACTTATATAAATATTTTTAGCAAATTTACGAAGGCATATGAAGTCTATGCATCCTGAAGCTTTATTCACCAATTTTATTGCAATTCCTGATTCATTGTTCGGAGCCAGGAAACTATCTGATACCGAAAATCTTTATATGAATAAATTAGTATTAAGATGCCTTATAAAGAATAATATATCTTTCAATATTTTGGAGAGCGAACCTTTAAAGATATTTTCAAATATCCAAATAAAAATATAAAAGATAGTTTGTCGCCAAACTGCAAAAAGGTATTTATCGAATATATTCTTAAGCGCCAAAGATGGCATAATTAAAATTTTAAGAAATGTCACGGGATTAGTTTCTCTAACCACGGATATATGGTCACAAAGTTCCATATCATATTGTGCAATTACCGTACATTTTATTGACGAATTCTGGATATTAAAAATTTTTTTGCTAGATATTCTAGAGTTTCCCTACCCTCACAAAGGTGAAGATATTTGTAAGCTAATTATAGAATCAATTGAAAACTTTAAAATAGAAATTTTTTTTTAGCCATCACACATGACAATGGCTCCAATATAATAGTTGCCCTAGATTTAATAAATGAAATTTTCAATCAAAATATAAAAAGGGCATTAATAGTCATAGATGCCTTGCGCATGTTATAAACATTATTGTGAAGGAAGGGATAGATTTCTTTTCGAAAGAGCAAGGTATGGTAGAAAAATTTGTAAGAAAATTACATAAAAGTCCGAAATGGATGCAAGAATTTATAAAAGTTATGTGGTACACGAATTCCAATGGATGTGGTAACTAGATGGAATAGCAAATTCATAATGTTATCTAGTATTAATAAAGTATTATAATAATATTTAATGTTCGATAATATTTTATTTTATATAGCACATCCAGGCTATCAAGGATTTGGGGAAGAAAATTTTTGGAGAAGAAAATTTTAATTTAACTATTGATGATTGTGAATTTTTGAAGCATCTCGAAATATTTTTATATCCATTTTATAAAATTACATGCGAAATATGTACAGAAAAATCCCCTACAATTGGAATGGCCATTCTATTTATAGATAAAATTTATAGAACGTTAGATAGGCTTATCATCGAATTAAGGCTATTAAAACCCTGTATCTAGGGTACATCTTCACTAAAATTTTATTTAAACATGTTAGCAATGCTTATTTTAGCCCATTTACGTCAAAAAAATTCGAAAAACTTTAAAAACAACGATTATGACAATTGTTACTTTTCTACTGTACATCTTGACTAAATTTTTATTTAAACATGTTAGCAATCCTCTTTTTACCCATTTACGTCAAAAAAAATTGGAAAAACTTTAAAAACAACGATTATGTCAATTGTCACTTTTCTACTGTACATCTTCACTAAAATTTTATTTAAACATGTTAGCAATGCTTATTTTAGCCCATTTACGTCAAAAAAATACGAAAAACTAAAACAAAATATTCTTATTATAATTTTGTTCACATTAATCATTTTCCCAAAATTTAGCAATTTACCAGATTTTATAAAAAAATAAAACAATTGAGCAGACCCAACGAGTCGAATACACGAGCCGACTAAGTGAGTCGGCTCCTTGATCGACTTGAGTCGGAGCCGTTTTCTACGACTCGAGTCTCAAGTCGTAAGAACTTGAATTTTTAACGACACTACTGACGACATATAATTATTAATTATTTAAATGATTATCATTTATATCTTAAATATATCTATCGATTACAACATGAATATTTTTTTTAAATAATTTTCGCATTTATATGTAATATTTACTAACCATAATGATTTGAAGATTTTCTAAAATCTTACTTTTCTGTTTGAATATAAAAATACACTAATATATTATACTGGACAGATTTAAATTATTTTATATTATTTATTTTTTTTTAAAAAGGTATAGAAGTTCTAGCTAAAGATTGCAAGTTCGTGGCCGTTCTTTTACCCTTAACTAAATTTATATTGGGAATAACGGATAAAAATAAGCCACCTGCTAGACAGTTGATTCAAAACGATGTGCCCGTTGCATTAGGCACGGATTTTAATCCTTCATCCCATTGTTATTCAATGGTTATAAAAAAATCTTATTATATATTATTGCTTCGTAAAACTTTTTCACAAATCTTTCTACCCATAAAAATATGGTTAAAATTAAAATTTGATTATAAATCATAGATATATCTTGAGGCCTTTACGCACAAAAATCTTATGAAACTTTCTGTCCGTTATATATTTTTTATAAAGGATTTAGAAGCTCTGGCCTGCTCTTTCCTTGCGCCTATGTAAAACATTCGTTTTAAAAAAAAAAAATTAATTCTGCTATATAAGGCCCTATCTTGATAAAGGCTTGTAAAAACTTGCGATATATTATTTCCTATGATGGATTCTAATCATAGCTTCTCCATTAATCCGCTTTATGGAGGAATATTTAAACATAAGTGGCCTAACATGGGGTGGTCCAAAATAATTATTTATTTAATAATAAATATATCTCTTAAGATATAGTTTCTTTATAATCTAATAATAAAAAATTTATATATAAGCCTATAGCTATGTACACGGCGGTCGTAACGATGGGTATGACGCTAGAAGAATCATTAGTCGCTTCCACCTTAAACGCGGCAGCTTCCTTGAATATGTCGCAAGATTATGGTTCCCTAGAAAGGGATAAAATGGGAGATTTACTCGTACTAGATTGTTCGGAGTGAGTGTCTTTTAAATAAAAACTTGTTTCTATGATTATTTTAAAATGTAATGAATTTTTTTATAGCTAGTCATCAAAAGAGAACGAATGAAAGGAAAAAAGTAGGAAAGAAAGAGATAGAGTAATCGGATATGGTGGTCTGAGCTTTAGCCGTTTTAATCCCACTTAATCCTATCCAAACATTATCTTATAAATCACGAATTAATCTACATTACCTTTTAACTATTAAACCCTCCTCTATTAGCCATTTATATTCATTTACATTATTTGGAAAAGTTGGAAACATCTGATATATCAATTGGGTAATCACGATCAGCTGATTAATTACGTCATAAAACGGGGTTCGATAATTTATGGAAGGGCTCCTTTTCGATATTCAAAAGGAGAACCGCAAACCGGTGAAATGATATTTGCTCAAAAGAGAGAAAAATCGCTTCCAATCTTAACAAAGGAAGAAAATTGGTTGTTGTTGTGATTTGTTTTTATCCTTTTTTTATCCCATTCTTTTAATAGAAAATTATGTCAATATTTAGCACACTTAAGATCTTTGATATCTTATATAATATAAACTGCTTCAAAATTTTTGAGGAATTATTTCTAAATTATATATATATTAATTTTATTATAACATTCATCCCATTTATTAAAACGAATTTTAGTCTTCACCTATCAAGAAAATATTTTTTTCTAATTGACGCTCTAATCAACTGAAGTGATATTTAGTATTAATATTTAATATATCAAAATTATATTTATAAAAATTTATTTTAGAATTATATTTTAAGATTTATGCAATCTTCATAACAAATTATTACTTATATTTAAAAAAAATTATGCTATTTATTATAAAAACCTGTGATACTTTTTTTTAGTATTATTTATCATATTTTAAATTTATGAATTTTTATTTTTTTTTCAAATAAACTTATTTTATATTGTTTTATTTAATAGAATTATCTCACATATAATTATCTGAAAATAGTGAAATTTTATTATTTTTTGATCACATTATACAAGAATTATTAAATGAATCATTATTATATCTATTATATTGCATTGACCAGTTAAATAAAGAATAACCAAAAATGTAAATACATCGATCATAAATTTATTATGTAGCAGCTACTTAGGTCTCGTTTATAGTAAGCGTGTTTCGCTCAAGGGAATTGCATCGCCTCATGTGATTTTCAAATTTCATCATAGCGATGTAACTCGTTTCATCTCATCGCTCAGTCGTTATAAATTAAACCCATCATTTAATTGCATTTGTAAACTACGCAGCGATGAATTAACCGAATCACGATTACTATTCAGCACAACCAGGTTCCCGATCTAAAAAATTTGAAATTTCGTTTGAAAAAAAAAATCGAAAATTAGATGAATTTATATTTATAATTATTTCCTTCACAAAATTATTTTATATGAACGGATCCAACAACTTGTGCAAAATTTTATTTTTACGAACTGAGTCGAATTGAGTCCCGCTAATTTCTACACAGCTATGGCTCTACCCAAAACATATTTTTAGTAATGGGGGGGGGGCTGTCTATCAAGAGTTTATTTTTGGAAAAGATGTCCAACAGCTTGCGCGACTTAATTTTTGTTCTCATTTCTGAATTTTATTTACAAAAGCAGCGTAGGCGCCATTTTTTAAAAAAAATGATATTTGACGGTAATAGAAAAAAAATCCCATGGAAAAAAAAATTTAAAAAACAGAAAATCGTTATTTTTTAAAAAAAATTTCTTGTCAATTTTTCTTAAATTTTTTTCTCAATTTATATTTTTCTTCCCATTTTTGCTTTGAGACATTGTTAATCTTTTTCTGATATTTTCTCAATTTTCACTTAATTTTTTTTAGTATAACCCAGCTATAACTAATTTTGATAAATAATTTTATAAGTGAATGACATTCATTAACAGCTATTAAACTCAAAAAAAAACACAAAATACTTACGAAAAAATATTCGAAGTAATAATGTCTAAATTTAAGAACGGAATTTATTTCCTGATCCATATATATACATGGATTTCGAAAAGTCTGCTATGAGCGCGGTTTAAACTGTCATTGGTATGATTATTAATATGCTATTCAATTAAGTAATCACATCATAATCAAAGGATGCTTTTACCATTTGTGTCATAGTACCGATAGAAAAATTCAAAAGCTAGGTCTGGAAAGCCAATACAGAACCGATGAAGCCCTAAGCTTCTTTTGTGGCATAATGGACTACTTAGCTTTTGTTCCTTTATGTGATATGGGCAATGCAATGGCATTCCTTAGATCGGTTACTCCGAGTAATGGTAAGGATATTCTTGAATATTTCAATAAAAATTACATCAATGGAGTATCAAGGGAGGTCACAAGAAGCAATTCTCAATCCCAGACACGTCGAATTGGGCCTCGATTTCCTCCAGAAACTTGGAACGTGAATGAGAGCACTATCCGACGAAGAACGCACGTTTAATCAATGCGAAGGTTGGAATCATCGTTTTTCTAATCTGGTTGGGAATAAACACCCATCAATCTGGGTATTGATTAAAAAAATGAAATGCGAGGTTAATGCCGGAAACCAAACTTGAACGATGGCGTGTAGGTAGTTGGACACCGAAAATAAAATCGCAGAGTTACAATACCCAGATTCGGCTAAAGAAACTTTGCGAGGAATACCGTTATGGGGGCCAAGCCATCCAGATTTTATGAGGGCGATTTTCTTCAATATTCTATGTCAACCCATATAATTATTATTCTAAATTATTAAATTTGTATATACATAATAATGATTTATCAATAAAATAAACAGATCTTATTGCAAATTTTGTCAAATTTAGTCTACTTGATATTGTATTTATTACTATAGCAAATAATTTTTACGAAAATAAGTAATACATGGGTTATTTTAATGGGATATTTTTTTCCCCAGTACCAATTTGAACATCAGCATTTTTTCTTGTTTAAGCATTTTTTATGGAGGGTATATGAGTAATCTTCAAGTAATGAACTGGGGCCTAAAAAAATTTATTAATAAATTTTATTTTTATAATATTTTTTTCTAAAATACTAATTTGTCTATACCTTATTAAATCCAAATAAAAATATACCGATATTATTAGGTCTTAAGTAAATTCGAAAAAAAATTCGGGTTTTTTTTCCTGGAGGTTTTTTTCCAAGGGTTTTTTCCGGTGATTTTTTTCTCATTTTTGACATAAGATGATAATATTTTTGAAATACGCTTAAATGTGTACTTATTCTTATTTTATTTTAAATCTGAAAAACATTATTCAGAATTAAAAAGACAAGTCAGGACACAGCATCCACAGCTGCTTTTCTGAATAGAATGCTTTATTTTTAGGATTAAGACGATCTAACCCTGAGTTCACAGTTAGCGCGAATTCGCGGCGAATATTCAAAAATGAATGTAAAATTATTATTTTTATATCATAATTTGTATATTTCGCCACCAGGGTATACATCTTTGGTTTTATACCTGAAATATACATTTTCCCTTTTTTAGGTAAGTGGGGTCACTTTTTGCGGGCTAATTATAATTTTTGTTGTAATAAAATGGCTGAAAAAGGAAATCTAAATATTTTCCCGAAGTCTTCCACATCACTAAACTTCAGATATTATTATGGAGGAGAGAGGATTGCTAAAATTAAATAAAAGTAAAGTTAGGAAGATCTGAACAAAACTGGACTTAGTTGAAAAAAATATATATTTAAACTAACAATTTCAACGTTTCAGAAAGTATTCGATAGAAAACTTTGGAAATCAATGCTGCGAAAACAAAGATTAACCTCTTTGTAACGTCTTAAAACCCAATCATGTTGATAAATGAATTGTAATAAAATTTTGAAGAATTTCATTTATAAATACGATCAATGGGTTTCGAATTTTGGTCTTAGGATGGAGTTGGGATTCTAGTTACTTTAAAAAATATATTAAAATAATTAAAGTCTATTTTTAAAAAATTCATGATTATGAAGATATAATAATTTATAAAACATTACATGTGTACATAATTCCTTATCCGAACGAGCTGCCAAAACAAATCCACTTGAGTGCGCTAATTTACGTTATTACAATAATTTATAAAAATATTTTTTTTTATCCCAATATGCATATATTGTAGATTTAGAGTGTACGATTTCATTCGTTTTGGTCTAATTAAGGGTAAATTTCTTTCTTTTTTTAAAGGAGAAAGTTGGTCATATCGAATTGTCTACCCCCCCCCCCTCCCCCACTTGGTTTACACTTAGGTCAAATGTTAATATTATATTTAATAATTTCTTAATTTTAAAATATAAATGATACGATTTTCTTCTCTTATTTATTTAATTGTAAATTTAACAAATATGGCAAAACTATCTATATATAGAAATTATATATTAACAAGAATTTAAAAGTGAAAATAGACGAATAAAACAAAATATAGTAAGGGTAAAATTGTGATAAAAAAATTAATACAATTTATTATATGGAGAAATCAGAATAACAGAAAATCAAGAGGAATATAAGATAACGGAAATTTGATTTAATGACCTGTATTGCAAGTCTCTAACGAAGGCAGAAGCCTTCTGTTTTCACCACCGAAATTACTCTACCCAGTTTTTTTATTAGATCTGTGACTTGTGGACCAAAAGTTTCAAGAGGGGTCTCGATGACCTAAACGAAATAATATTTATCTGACATGCCCGTGTATTTGTCACATTTCAATTTTTCTGTAGATAATTTAAAAAAAAAATTTTTAATGAAAAAATAAATTATATAATTGATAAACAACAATTTCGTTAGAAAATTAAAATATTTATACAAAGAACACTTGTATACCTTATAGATTTATAATATAATGGCTCAATTTTTCTTTATTAACTTGTATGGTGTGGTTATCAATTTGGACTGAAAATTAAATTTAAAACGATATAAATATTTTATAATTTTTATCTAAGAAAGGTTGATAAACTTTAATTTATCTAATCAGTGTTTAAAAAAAACCTTAACCATGGCGTTTGGTTGGTAAAAATATACACATATAATACATAGGAATAATAATAATTTTATATTTATGAATAGAAAACAAACGTTTGATAGTATAATTCCATTATTTTAAGCAGCGACTATTAATAGAATAATCATAAACTAAAAACGCGATTTAAGGCTATTTTTTTAAAAAACTCCCTTATTTTACGCAATTTTTATTTATATTACTGAATATATATTATATATTTTTAAATAAAATAAAGTAATTGATAGTTTAAAAAAAATTGCTAGGACAAAACCTTTGATCTAGAATCGTAAATGTTTTCTAAAAAAAAATCTTTATAAAAACAAAAATTCATGTTAGCAGAGACCTGCAGAGGTACCATTTGCATGGCTTGGCTTTTTTAAAAATATGTTTTATTTATTTTTAATTTATATAGCTAACAATGACAATTTAAAAATTACTGCTTGGCCCGAGTATTTTTTTAAAATAAATTTTCAGGCCCGGTTCGGGTTTTTAAAAAAATTTTAGGCCCGACCCGGGCCGGTAGACTTAAGTCATATTCTTAGGTGTTTACTTAATTAGAGGCTATGTTTTATTGACTCATTGTTTTGTCAAAGCAAAAGACATGATTTTGTTGAAACCGATTCCACCGTTTATAGAAGTACCTGCACTAGGAATTTTATAGGTTTAAAATATTTTTTTAATTATTTTTGATTAACCAATCAAATTTGATAAGTTACATAAATTATAAATAGACGAATGGAAATATAAATAAATCAGCTGTTGTAACGGTAATTTGTTTTTAATTGAAACCATAATCCAAAAGTTTACCTCAAGAGATTGTCTGAGGAGAGATACTCCATAACTATGCTAGAATAACGTTTCTGATAAAAATAAGGTAAGGTCTTTCAAAGCGAAAAGGATGGGTTATAAATGAAATACTTTTTTAAAATTTGCTAAAAGCTCATAATTTATAAACATCTTAGATATTATAATATACCTGCCATTTTTTCAGTAATTTAATATTAAAATGATATAAATATCTATCCAAATTTTATTAATAATTTTGATTTATTAGTTTCCCAAAATTAAAAATGAGATATAAAAAGATGGATCAAAGAATGAAAAAATATAAGCACATCAATGGAAACTCTCAATATTTATTTTCCTTTCAATAATGATTGTTTGTTTTATTTTTTTATTTTGCTATCTCACCAAAATGTTGAAGTGGAAAGTCTTGATGTAATAAATAACATATTTTCTTCTTTTTTCGTTTTTTTCTTCTTAACTTTTAAGCGTGTGAAAAATATTAATAACTATTTTTTTTATTTGAAATCATAAATAATATACTATATCTTTTTAAAATCAAAGTTTAAAATAATATTGGATTATAATTTAATTTGATTAGCTTTATTATATTTTTACATGCAAAAATATTACATTTTAATTTTGAAAGGCACTATTACATCTCACAATCTTGAAAAATAAGTTAAATTAATATAATAAAAAAAGGGATAAAATCTTCAAGTTTAGGTTTTTTTTAAATTCCACTAAAAAACATCATCCGATGAGATTTTATAAGGAATATAAATAAAGTATTTGATGTATATAAAAGATCGGCTAAAGTGTGCCAGAATGGGCTTCGGGTCGGATAATGCTATTTTTTTCAAAAATATTGGTTCGAACTGGGTAGTGCTTAATATTTCTTTTAAAAATTTCGGGCCGCCCTGGGTCGGGTTTAAATTTTAAAATAAAATTGATTATATTTTAAAATTTTTGCATTGGGTGTCAATATTATTTTATTTTTCATTTGTTTATAGAATTATCAAAAACTAGATTAAGTTCAAGTGTAAAAATGTAAAACTGTTCATTTCTATATTTAAATAAATTCGGGCCGAGCCTTGTGGACAAATAATTTTTATTTTTAATTAGGGACAAATATAAAAATTTGTACAGAATCGGGCCGGGCTTAAAAAAAATTAGGCCCAATGTAGATCACTAGTAGATATCACTTCCTTTTTTTTTTCAAAATTGTCTCCAATATTTTTTGTCCTTCACAATCATAAAACAATTCCCTTTATCTGTTATTAGACATTTATCATACTTTACCTTAATATAGTAGTATTATCTAGTTAACTTACTTATTAGGGGAGAGTTTTTCATATGATATCGGGGTTGGTATAAGCTTATGATAGTGTCATGTCAGCTACCACCATATCTTTTTAGGTTTATTTTTACTACAATTTTTCCTAAGAATTTTTTTTATCATTTATGTCTTTTTGGGTGGCTGGGCATTTGGTTCAAAGATGTTTCCTCTATTTGAAACCATGAATCCTAACCTTGGTTCGGTTTAGGTTCAAGTTTAGTTAAAACTAACGATTTAAGGTTCAGGTTCGGTTCCTAAAAAATTAAAATATCGGTTCAGTTCGAACCTCTAAAAGGTGTGATATTTTGATTTTATTGAGTTCTAAAGGGTGGTTTCTTTTTTAGTGATGCTCAAGATTTGCTCCGTGGTACCCCTTCATAGTTGTGAACTCAGTAATATTACATTTTGATGTTCATATATAATAACTATACGTAAATTAATTATACATTGGATTCAATTTATCTCTAGGTATTTTAGGTTTAAGAATGTTTTAAAGTGGTAATAAAAAATGTGGCTGACACTTATCAATCATAATTTATTAATAATAATCTTCAAAACAATTTGAATAAAAATTAGATTTTAGCTATATACTAGTAATAACTTTCAAACTATTTTATAAGCAAATAATCATGTGGTTAGAATCAGTTCACAGGTATTTTAGCAATCTTTTATTGGTTTAGGTTCGGTTCAAGTTCGATAAAAAATACCGGTTTAATGGTTCAGGTTCGGGTTAAATCCCTGCTTGAGACATCGTTTTTTTATTCTTGTTTTAAGTTTAAAGGATCAACGGGAAAGCGCTTGATATCTGAATCAGATATGGTGGATAGATAGGTGGGCTCTCAGAGCTTCCAGCTATAAATCTTGCATTGTCATTAGCGATAATTACTCACTGACGATCGGGATCTGGAATTTGCGAGGGGCGCCTTTATCATCGCATTAATGGCTTGTAGTAGGTTGACGCATTCAAAAAATGGATCGTTTTTTTGACATCTCTATTTCAGAGAGTTAGAAATTTGGAATGAGAGACTAAAGCGCAGCAGAATCTTGGTTAGATTACCTGTTTTTTGAAAATAACCTCTGTCATAGTAGGATTAAAAAAAGAGAGATATATAAAATTGGTTTTATAAAATAAATCATTATTTAGTTAATTTCCAAACAACTACCCAAACCACCAATATTATGGTTTCTCTGGGAACTAGAAGTATTTAAATATATTATATCCATTTCATATTTTTACCATCTAAAATGAATAGACCTATAATATTATCCTAACCCTCAGCGCGAAAAAAATGGATCAAATAAAACAAAAAAATTTGTGTCCAAAGAAACTCTTGTTGTAGTATGAATAAATAGGGGCAAACTATTATGGATTATAGTTTAAATCAGGGACCCAACAAGGGAATCCCCCCCCCCGTTCCGTTTCAGTTCCTGTCAAAAAATAGTTCCGTTCCACCTTTCGTAACGTTCCTAGAAATATCGCTAAATATATTTTTTAAATCTACACATTTTAATTATTCCTTATTTAATCATTAAATGAATCAATATTTAATATATTTTCTAAAAGATTATCATTTATATTGGTTCTTTGTGATGTTGTTAGTATAAATTTGAGTGTCGAAAAACAATGTTTAACAGTTACCTGGCTACATATGGAATTGCTAATATGATTTAGGTCAATTCATACAGGAGAAATTTTTTATTTTATTGGATTCCCAGTATTCTTGTAAATGCTCGAATTTTTTTTATAATTGATAGAATATCATCTTGTTTGTAAATTTTGTCATGTTTTTCATTTTTATCCTTGGATCTTAGAAACACTTCTAAATCCTGATATTCTTGTCCTTCTTCAGAAGATTTATCTGAACTTATTATATTTAAATCTTCATCCTTAACATTTTCAATATGTTCCCATGCCAATAAATGATTTATAACTTTTCCTCTTCGTTCTAAAAATATTTAAACTTAGAATCTAGATATAAGGCAGAGATGATTAATTAATTTATTAGCATTTTTTCCCTTTTATTGAGAGCTGAATAAGTTTTGTGATAATAGGGAATTCATTTTTGAAGCTATTTGGTCCATTGACATATAAAAATACACTCTTTTTGGAACATTAAGCTTACTTCCTTTAACGTCTTTAATGAGGCCACCATTTTTCTACAGTTTTACAATCTTCATCGGACAAAGCTTTTTTAGGGTGTACCAATTGTAAGGATTTAGAAAATAAAGAGAATTTAATATATTATGCACCTTAAGATGGATCAAAAAATTTTATTTTTTTAATTATAGAAATAAACAAGAAATTTATATATAACCGAAATGTTCCGGGAAGATTCCGGAATACAAGTTCCTGTTTCTTTTTTATAAATTTATTCAAAGTTCCGGAACATTCCGTTCCATATCCCTAGTTTAAATCGATCTCTTTTTTTGCTTTAAATTCTAAGCATCTGTTTATGGAGAAAGATTACGTGGACGAGTATCGAGTAAAACGCCCCAACTCGGGTTTAATCGTTAAAACGGAACCCAACTTAAATCGAATTCGGTATTCGAATCAATACGAGCGATTGTTCAGACCCTACTATTTAATAACACTATGTTCAATATATAGGAGAGACCTGCAGAGATGCCATTTGCACGACCCGACCCAGCTCGGATCATTTTTAGAAAAATTTTTTCGGCCCGGCCCGAGATTTATATTTTCAGGCTCGGCCCGAACTTTTTTAAAATATATTATATTTATTTATAACACTTGTAGATAATAATGGCGATTAAAAATATTTGGTTTTAAAATATACGGTCCGGCCCGGGTATTTTTTTAAAAAAAAATTTTTTAGGCCCTGCCTGGGTTTATTTAAAAATCGAATTATGGCCAGGGCCGGGCTTGCAAGTCTCTGATAGTTCACTATAAAAAAATATACTAAAAATTATTAGGGGGTGGGGGGGGGGGTTATATGACGTAATATTAAAAAAAATAACACCCATTCTTTATATTATATTAATCATCTGATTTAACATTAGCCTTCTTAACCTTTTCAAGGAGAAAAAGAAAAAATCTACACACCCATCACTCCAAATAATAATTTTTTCTGTATATATAAGAAGAAACTTTACGACGTTATCTAATATTTTTATAAAAATACATTCAAAAAACACCCAATAAGACTGATGTGGGTAGTTTGTAAAATTAACGTAAATTTTAACAATAACGAGGATTTCACAATAATTTTAACTAAGGATAATATCTTATATTTTACTTTAGACCGGATTTTAAAATTCGGTTTTCACAATAACGAATTTTGATTAATATCCGGGTTCAGTATAACTAATAGAATTTCCGTCATCTTAATATATTTTTTTTTATGATTTAGATAAGGCAAAAATATTTAAAATAAATTTATAAATTAAGATGTAATTTCTTTCATAATAATTATAAATTCATTATAATGTAAACATAATATTTTTTTTAAATATAAAGAAAATACTTTAAAATGACAAGAAGAAATAAATGTAAGTAATATATAAGTAAGTATCAATCATGAATAAGATAATCTCGATCTTTTCACTTATACTTATTAATATTTACATAACAAATGATGTATATTATCATGTAATAGTAATATGTATATTAATATCCTTTAATATTTATATTTATAATAATTTTTGCGACAATTTAAATGTCATATTTATGAGGTTAGTTAACCCATCGATATCTGCAATTAATTTTTCGCATTATACATTTATTTTAAGAAAGTTGAATTCACCTTTGGTCTTCCTATCCTAATATTATGTTTTGTGTAAAATGAATGAAAAATTAATAAGGATATTTTATATACTATATATAATATGTATTTTTTTGGTATAAATGTCAAAAAATAAAATATTGATTCTATTAATTTTTTTTTTGATATTTTTAGTTTATAATTGTTACATTACCCCTAAACATAATTTAATAAAGCTTATTTGCCCCCAATTTTTTTTGATGATTATAATATCTTTATATTCATGGAACTAACTTTGTAGATATGATTGTCTTGATTGATAATATTACATTTAATGTCCTAACTATATTTGAAGGTTTAAAAAATTATTATATCGTACATTTTTTTTAAATAATATAACATGTATAGTATTATTATTATGTATATATAATAAATTAAAACCAACCATAGTTAGAGAAGGGATTAAATTTAATCAGATATGAATTAATATTAGTACAAACCTTGCAAAATCTAATTATGTAATAATACACTTATTAATTTTCTTCAAATATGGGAGAATTATTATAATAGGGTTGTCCTCTTAGGGGAACAATATACTCTACTCAGAACTAGAGAAGATCACGATCCGATCTTAAGACGGGATTAATGCACTCGGACCGGACCACGGTCTTTAAAAAAGGATCAGTGGTCCTAAATAAAAAAACGGTTCAGGACCGAATTATTGTTCATTGGGACAATATGTAAAATGCATCTTTGACAAATTTAGTTTTATAAGTGCAAAATAAAAATAAATAAAAAATTTACAAAAACTAAAATAACTCCTTTAGAAAAAATAACATAAATTGAAATATACAAAAAAATTAGGTATGAAAAATTATATTTATTGAATAGTAAAGGCAAACTTAAATAGGGGAGACCGGGGTAAAGCGATTGACGGGGTAACAATGTCAAGGCAAATAACTTTTCAACCCTTGAGTTTAAAGACGAAATTTGGTGTGAAGATGTATTTTTATATCTAATTTCTTACCTATGTTTATCTTTTTGAAAAACTTTTCCGGTTTGACATATTTTGCTAAAAAACCGTTTTTTACCCAAAAATTATAAAAATCACCCTCTAGTTATATTCGTATTTAGCAAAATATATTAAGGCTCAGAATTTTTTGTATACGTGTTCCTTAAATCGATGGCTATAAAATAAAATTTAACAGAAGTTTGTAAAAGTTGGTATGGGTAAAACGATTAAAATGCTCCGTCTGATTTAAGCTGTAAAAAGATAATTTTTATATACTAACGTCTACACCATATAAAAAGATACTTTTGTGCAAAAATAAACATTAATAAATAGTGTATATGTTATTTGGAATGAAATTTTATGAATAGTGGCAAAGGGGAAGAATAATTGAAATATACTATGTACCTAAAAATGGTCACATTCAAAATGTGCTATTTTTGATATAATTTTTTACATCCATTGCATTGATTAGTTTATACTAAAAATGTTGAATAGTCAAAATTGCAATACTTTGTTTAATTAAACAACATAATTATGTTCAATTTTATTTTCACCACTTTACCCTGATACTTAGCTACTTTACCCTGGGTATGAGGTAAAAACGACGTGCACACTTCACATAATTAATCACAGCTACTAAAGTATTATAGGTAGAGAGCTATGTCTTTTTTTATATTGATGAGGTATTTAACTATTTAAATATATAATTTGTTCTATTTTGTTAATGTTTCAAAATATTATGGTAAAAATGCATAATACCAATCGTTTTACCCCGGTCTCGCCTAGTAATAAAAGTAAGGACCGTAAAAATTAAAAAGGCCGATTCGGACTGTCGTTCCCAAAGAAACGATCTGTCCCTCAATAGGTATGGTCCGTGTCTAAGACCTATAGAACCGGATGTTGACCTCCACTACCCATGGTTTCTATATTGAGATAAATGCTGTAATCATTTTTTTGCTAAATCCACCAAAAATAATATTTTCCAGCACCTAATCTTATATTGCGTCTACTCATTAGATTGTATTATTAATTTTCTTTTAAATTTTGGAGTCACTTATACTTTCCTAGTGTCATAAGAAGAAAAGTTAATAAAATGGTGTAAATGAAGTTTGATTGATTAACAAAAGAAAAGTATCATTAGAAATTTTACTTGAAAAATTTGAAAACAAATATTTTGGATATAATGGAAAGCATATTTTTTCCACAAAAAAAGGATCAATTTAAGAGTATTTATGTAAGGTTTAATAATTATATGATTGGCTTGGAGTAGAGGTCTGCATTGGGCGGGTTTTTTGACCAAAAGCCCGCCCATTCAATGTTTTAAAAAAACATAACCCGCCCGCCCATAGTTTTTAAAAAAATATATACCCGCCACCCCATACTTTTTACCCGCCCGCCCAATATTTATAAAAAAATTTTAACCCAAGCCCGCTTATAAAATTTAATTATGGTCATTCTTTCATTTTTTTAAGCATCTAATAATAATATTTCAGCATCACACCTCTACAAAAAGTTTATAATTTAGGAAATTAATATAAGTATAAAAATAATCAATGTAAATTATGGACAATTTATTTGATCAAATTTAATATTTATGGAAAAAAAATATAAATGTAAAATTAATATTATATGTAATTATAATGCAAAAATAATAATGAATCGACATTTTCTGGATTCAAACACGTTCTTCTTCGTTCTAAAAATCTTCTAGCAATGCTAAATCCGCGTTCGGAAGAAGCACTAGAAAAGTTTTATTACATTCCCATAAAAGGAAATTTTTAATAGACAAAAACGTTTATTTATTCTAATAAAAAAGTTTTATTGTTGTGTTTATTACATAATATAGTTAGGTAAATGTTCTTCACTTAAAAAAAACGATTGGTACAATAAAAAAAAAGAAATATTGTTATAGATCATTTAAACAATTATTTTTTTTAGTTTGTTTTTGAACAAAAATTTCAAACTTCCTTAACCCGCCCGCCCATTGTTTAAATTTCTTAACCCGCCGGCCCATAGTTTCAAATTTTAACACGCCCGCCTGCCCATTCTCGAAATTTTTTTTACCCGCCCACCCCGCCCAATGCAGACCTCTAGCTAGTAAGGGCTCGATATTGGGGGGGGGGAGGTGGTACGATCAATTGCATCATAAAAATCTCAAGGAGAACTCTTTTAGTAAACATACAAAGTAAGCAAGTATGTAAGTATTTGTTTTATAATTAATAGTCACCAAAGTAGGGAAAGAGAGGTTCAATATCATAAGCTCACGTGGAGTCTTGAGAGTCATGAATGAAATGTCGTATTTATAAATAAAATGAATAATGAACTATTCGACCGACTGGACTGAGAATCGATAATACAACTATAATGATTAGTTTTTCCTGCAGTCTAAACCTTTTATTTATTTATTTCTTTTCTTTCTTACTAATCTACATTATAATTATGTGAGCACCATAATATATTATAAATTATATACTCCTTTTCTGTTTAACTCCATTTTTCGTCACTCTTCAATCTTAAATTA